ATTCAAAAATATCGCAAGTTTTATATGGCCACTCCGGATCATGTTTGGGAAAAATAGAACCTTAAATCTCCAAAAAGTAGAAAGTGGGTGTCTTTCAAGCAGAAACCAAGATACGCGATTAGAGGGAGCTTGTTGTCAAGAATTAACGACATAGTTGATGGAGATTTTCCACCTATGGCGTTTAAGTTGCGGACGTTCTGACAAGCTATACTTTTGTTCAGATATATTCTCCGATTAATATTACAGCATGTCCTCAATTGTTAACTGCCCTCTACCAAATATTAACACTCGTTTTTTTCTAACTAAGCTAGCAATATTTTACGAGATAAACAGATTTCATGAACACTTTTGCTTCTTAGAAACAAAATTTTTTTGTGAAAATCAAAATTAGCAGAGCTTAAATAGTCCCACTATTTTTAAGACGCGGACATTTCCTCTTTTTTTAGGAATAAGTAATTGGAAATCTGCAAAAATGTTGTATTCCAAAACAGCACGACAACGTCTACAAAATCTTCTAGAAATATGCACACATGTACGCTATTTACTTCTTGAGAAACAATTCTTTGAAACGCGTGCGCTTGCGAGAAAACCGATTGGATTACTGCAGCCTCGGTAAATACTAGTTAAAAAGCAGAAAATGCACCCCGAAGGCCGTCCAAAAGTTATTATAAATTTTGTAAAATTTCAGGGCAATTTTAAGCAAGCCATGATGTCTGTCTCAATTAAAAACTTTAAACGTTAGAAGGGTATTGTATTTTGAAATAAGCCTCTAATTTGGGACTGAAATGAGCGAGAAAACAGGTTGATGTAGGGCAATTTCGGCAAATTATAATTTAAAGCAGACAAAACGACTCGAAGACCATCCGAAAGTTATTACGAACTGTGCATGAGCACTTTGGAGCATTTGTTAACAAACTGGGAATTAAACTCCTTTTTAAAACGTAACATGCCGATTCTCTCGAAAAAATTTAATGAAAATGTGGTTTTCTACTGAAAGATTAAAAAATAACATATTTTGCGTATGTGTTGTATTAAATATATTGGACTTTAAGGGCCCACCGAAAATCGATGTAAAAAATGTGGGCGAAACCCAGCGGAAGTTGCAAATTCGCCTACAAGAACACAAATCGGCCACTCATAGGTTAGACCCTAACTCTCAACTAGCAACACACGTTGGGGAAACGGGGCATACTTTTGACCTCCAGAGGGCTACCATCTTAGGCCGAGGCAACACAAAAACAGAATGGCTAACTATTGAGACGTGGTTTTCCGATGCCCACTCTATCAACAGGCATCTGGACCTTTCTGCAGCTTACAAAGTCCTAAGTCATCACAGTGGTAGAGCTCAGGACCAAACAACCACACCGAACTTAAGAAGGCCGCACGGAGATAGCCCGACGCTGAGTTTACGCGGTGAGGAAGAATAAGAACCGCCAGATCTACAGCCCGACTAAAGTCCAATCAGTTCCCCTCGACGGAGTGGTGACTCACAAAGCACACAGGCAAAACGCCCGTCAACCATCTCCTGAGAGCCCGAGGCATCGTGAGGAGGGAAAAAACGATCAGAATGAGGCCGGCCAACATAAATGCCACTTTAAATTAAATTTCTGATCGATTAAGTGCATCATACGCTTTGACAATGAAGAGCCGACCCAGCTCTTTGAAACGGCAGCACTTAAGTAAACCTCTTCCAGTGAGCCTGTCTTCGTCTTCAAATAATCAACCCGGATATTTCAACTTAGCTAATCTGAAAAATGCATGTCATATACGCCGTCGTTTTTTTCCGAGATTTTTTTCTGTGGGAGGTCAAATACAAATGCATTAAAAAGCCAATGTCCTGCCAATTGCTGTCCATTATTACAGCCTAACCTAGGTAATCACTGCTAATCGGAAACGTATTTCAGAATTTGGCCAAAATTTAAAGAGATCGGTCACGCGCTGTATGTAGCAGGGATTCTTCTAATTGACTCGTGATGCCCTTCTAAATCTAAATATATTTTAAAGCATGACTTATTCGTTCGTTGAGTCATTTGGTTGAAAAGTATCTGTTAATAATTTAATCTTGAAGGACAGGTACAGTAGGTGTGGTAACTAAGGAAATGTTAGTCGAAAATATAACATGCATTTTCTTTTTGGAGAGAATGATAACGAAGGATTAAAAAATTGATCAGCTTGCAGAAGAGTTCTAAAATAAGTCGGTTGCCACAAGATGCCGGCTCAAGAATGAATTAAGTCATGAACTTTTTTGAAACGCATACTCTGTAATAAATGACTGCTTAGGTAACATGCATTTTTTATTGATTTTCGATGCCATTCATATTTAAATATATTACATGGAATTCATGCGTGAAAATATTCAATATTTCGCTCGTCCATCAAAATAGTAAGTCTTCTTTCAATTTTATACTCGAAGGAAGAGTAAAATTTTCAAAAGGCAATTTGGCGAGCATTCGTCTGCTTTCGATAAATTCTCTTCAGGCCTGTACATTTATATGGCTATTGAAGTAATGAATGCAAAATATACGGGCAAATAGATAATAAATCTGAAGCTTGGGTTTGGAGAGGAGAGAGTAGGGGAGGGGGAGGGTGAAAAACCATAATGCCAGTCGGCCGACGAAGGTAATTACATGCGGGTGACTGGCTTGGTGGCTTTGACCCATGGTAACTGTGGGGCCTGCACGAAATTCTTCTGCGCGCAGAGGACCGATCGGCGTAGCCTAATTGCAGCCGCCTCTACCGTAGCCAACAAACGCTGCCCAAGCAGTTTTGGATAGCTTGATGGGACCTTGTAGATCACTCTGAAGACCTCTGTGGCGTCTACACGGTGACCTGTGTCTACCATGTGCGCGAGGATCGAGCTGTTGATGTTCTTTATTTGTCCCTTTCCTAACCATGCTGGGAGACGTTCTTTCATTCTTTTGGATAAACGCCGGCTCGTGCGACCAAT